ACTCCGATCGCGTAGTCCTCGTGACAATGCATATCATTACGATTCATATCAGATTTGAAATCACGCAAAGGTCTTCCGCGATATGTTTTACATTGACTCATCTTAGGTTGAAAGTTTCGAGTTCTATCGTACTCAGTGTAAAGGAATAAAGAAATGCTCAACTGAACGAAATACCCGAGATGACTTTTTTTTTTGAAAATATCAAATTTCAGAACCACTATGTGATAAAACATTTTATGAAAATGGTTTCCACTTCTTTGTTATATATTAAAATTTTTTTTCGTTTCAGATCGCCGCATGACAGCGGGATGAAGTGAATGTTCTATTTTGTTTTATACTTTTTATATTTTTATAGATAAAACTATATATATATAATAAATATTAACCTTTATATTCACAAAACGCTTTATTCGAAACCTGTGTCAAGTGTTTCGCGCCTATGGGTTAGGAAATTATGCTTCCAAGTTTTCTTCTAGTTTCCCTACATCCCCTAAAATCGCAACATGCTGTTCCGGAGAACAACAAAATTGAAAATTCTCCTCTGTGAAAGAAACATTTTGTAGTTCTAACAATGTGCAATATAGATAAGACTTGTATCCTTTGATTAGTTTATTCGATTTCATGGTGATGTAGTACTTTATACTGTCTGCGTTCTTTAGATTCTCCTTTTTGGATCACATGTTATTCATCGGCCATGAGTACAAGGATTTCCCGTGTGCCCATGAGCATTCGTAGTTTTAGTTTGTGTTCCGTTCATTCTATACTACAGTTTTTATTTATTAAATAGATTGACACATTGGAAGACAAATGATGAGGTGATATTTGGCGTTATTTCTGAACGCCGGTACACTTACATGGTCGCCCAATACTACACAAACTATTAATCGAAACTGCCTAGCCAGAATTATATATATTTTCAATGTTTGACTCAATATTATTCTCGCGTGTTTATTTAAATACATCTCCTAGCATAGATAACAGCATTAGTGATGCCTTTACTGCTTTCATTTTCAAAGGTACATTGAAAATGAAATTCATTCAGATTATAAATGCTAAAATACCAACTGTTCTTTAATTTGGGCATCTACAAACCCCTTAATGGTTCAACATTCAAAATTTTACTGATGGAAATGACATTTCGAAAATTTTACTTAAAAAATTGTTATCTATCACGGCATTTTAACAGTTTTAACAACTCGGATGTGTTGTATCATCACTTCGCAGTAATTATCATTTATATTACATGTATCTCATTCGGCCATATCCGGATTGGCGTTTTAGCTTTTAGAAATATTTGTCATGCCATTCAAGGAGAATGGTCAGCTACGTGCTTAAACCTTGGATAGTACCCCTATCAAATATATTTTTGAATTTTTTAGTCAGAACTTCTTCCGTACAATTTTCGTCGTATAGCACTTTCTGAACGAAAAGATGCTGTTTTTCAGCACTCCCTCTCCAGATCAAAAAGTCGAACATGAGATGCCTGGTTAAGCTTCATTTAACTATACTGTCTCTGGTAGGGGTACAACGCTATTTTTTTGCTCGATGGGGCCACATTGAAGTCACATCTTTTAAACCAATCCATTTACACATAAATCACAGGAAATTGGCCGCCAGAGTAGCTCCAAGAAATGGATAATGAGAATGTAATAAGTTGCACAAGTAGATATTCGCATCCTTGTATTCTTGTTACAACAGCGACTCATACTTATCCATTACATCCATAACTGATAAAATCATTCAAATTCATGAGCCCGAACTAAATTCGTCAATAATTTAGAATTTTCGTAAAATTTAACAAGCTATTGATGAGAACAACATATTTATTTGGTAATATATTATATCAACAATCATCCGGTCTTGTAGTGCTAGGTGTAAACCAATATGATTGTGAGTAGCATATTTTTTTGATCTGAGACAATAATACTTATGCATCTGCAGTTCAATATCACATCTTCCATTAGTATTTTTTATATCGCAGCTGCTTACAAACTTCGGAAGTGAAATGGTAGGAAAGTTGATACCTTCCAATCGCTGTTGGCATTTTTTTCGGAAAATGCTCTCTTCTTCTATTTCTCTCACATTTAGCCTACTCAACTTCTTTAAAGTTGAAAAATCAAACCGATGAAGGGCAAACGAAATATTAGTCACGTATGAATACCCTGTAGTCAAATATTGAAAATAATTAATTCTGACTAGAGTCTAGTTAATGATGTGTATATATATATGTTTTGACGATATCATATTTCGCAAAAATAATCTTGAGACGTAGGCCATCGTCATAGTCGCAGTTTATTACTTTAGAAGTCTTCACGGCGAATCGCAGTTTTCAAACGTGAATTTCATAATACCCACGACTATTAGACTCCCGGAAAAGGTGTGACACGACAAGTGTCTCATTGATTGAATCTATGACCCGCATTTTCTTGCTGTGATAATAATATAATGTGCGATCTATCATCTATCCGGTGGAAAAGATTCGCTATCCTGGATACGGATCCTGGAGACTGTTACTTAGGTTATTAGGTTTCTCTAAAAGACATCTTGCGTGTTGGTGAATACATATATATACATTTCAAATAATCCATATTCATCCATGGCAAGGCCAGTTTCTAGATCCCGTGTAAAATAGTTTTGCTAAGAATATTGGAATCAAAATTGTTTCTGATGTGCAGTAAATTTATTTAGATAATATTGGTATTACACATAAAAAAAAGGCGAGGTATCCATACTTAAACCAATCACGCACGGATATGTACTGCATGCAGCATAACAAATTTATTAACCAATAAAATATCACCTCATGTATAATATGATAACACAATATACAATTTCGATGCCATTGCTATACCATTTTATTCGAAAAATACATCAATGCAACATTAAAATTCCAGGTTCGAAATACAACCCGCTGATTGGTGGCCAATTTGGATATCGCAGCCCACCTAGAGGTCAAGGTCAAATGTCTATTTTAAATGATCTGATTTTGGCCTTTCTGGCTCTATTAATATTTCTTTCTGTATTTTGGTATCTTATCGTTAATGTGAATTAATAAATATAAAATTGCAGGTTAAACATGTCAAGAACAATTTTAAGTTTTGGGGCAGATTCGGATGCCACAAAGCGGCGGATTGCTAGTCGATAGTCGGCGGAGTGATAGTAGAAGTTAGCCACTCACTTTAAATTAACTTCCTATCCGTATGAGTGCGGGATGAAATAAATATATTCTTAAATGTACTATTTTATTTTTTGTACTTTATATTATATATATATATATTGAAAGATAAAACTATATAATAAAATTGACCCTTTTGTTAGCAAACCCAGTGTTGAGGGTTTCGAGCCTATGGGTTATAAAAGTATGCGTCCAATAGCTAGAAGGCTACAACTTTTTATTTATTTTAAACAAACTGTGTTTTCTATAGGATTCGTTTTGGTGTGTGCGATGACGTAATCAAAATTAAAAAATGTGCTTCTTGTTGGCGGTTTCGCTTTCGCGTAATATCAAATCTGCTGCTCAGCTGCGATACGGTACTGGTAGGCTACTATGACAGATTAAATAACCGTACCACTTCGTGTCCACATATTTGAGTATCACTATCTTGTTTCTCATTTTACTGTGTGAGATTCTCATTTTTGGAACAGATGATATTCCTAGGCCATGAGTACGTGAGCACATAATTATTTGCAATCTTAGTTCGCGTTTCGTCTATTCTATACCGCCGCTTTATTTTTAAATAGATTCACAAGTTGATGACAAATGATAACATGTAAAAATGGATATTGATCTACGTATGTCGTATTTCGACTACTTTTTAAAATGATTCTTCCGGAGACGACTCCATTTACTTTGCAGGCTTGGTCGCTTAGTTACAAAATATGACGTAACAATATTACAGAAACCTTTGTTTCCACGGAAACCGCTACCATCGTTGTTCGGGCCAGAGTTTAGCTTACAGTATTTAGTTTTTTTATTTCGTACACTTGCTTCATGCGAGTTTATGAAAATCGCTCGCGATAATTAGGTGATGTCGGTTAAAAATTGCAGTAGTGTAACGCGCAAACCATACCCCCTGTATCTCAGTATCTGTAATGCTACCGTAATGAGTCTGTAGAGTAGCCTATTAAAGTTAAGTGGACTTTGAATATGGCTTCCTTCACCATCAAGTTCACGCATCTGGAATAAATAACCAACGAATCCCATACTCGACGCGAACTAGTAACCGGACGAGAGGCCGTGGTTCGCCATATGGTTGAGATGTCTAATCGGCGTACCCCTCTCTCAGGATAAATATTTATATCTTATGTTGATTCATTCATCATCCTTAAATAACAAGATTGATCTAAACAATCATTTTGTTACGAGTTTTCGAACTTTGAATACATAATATAAATAGTAGGTTACATTTTATAAAGTGAAATAGGAAATCCAACAAAGTCGACCACGACCGGATGCCCGATTACCAGGTCAGTTTATCCCCTTATTCCTGGCCACGCCCCATGCGTTGTCCTTACAAAAATGCGATGGAGAGAATGTTTTCAATGATTAGAACAATACTGTACACCAATAATGGATATATATATTGACTTTAGGCAAAATAGCAACATTCCATATTGACCAGGCAAGATAATCTTTATAATTTCATTTGTTCTATTTTTTAATAAATCAGACATTAGTTGTCGATTAAAATCGAATATTCGCGCAACATGGGCCAACGCCAAACTATTGTATGCTTATCCTCATCGGTGGATCCCGAAGAGGACAACTCATTGGGTACTCCTGTGGACCCGCCAAAGTTTTTACACATGATCAATGGGTAAGTTAGTAAAACGATTTTAAATTTCGTTTTAATGTAAATAAAGTGTTATAAATAATTGAGTACAAAATGAAAGTATATTAACAATTATATTATTCATACTTCCACTTTGATATCCAATTCACACTGATTAACCAATCCGAGCCTAACTATTTCTTATCACTATGCCTCAACCCCCCCCAAACTGTAGGTATGGTTATTGTGTGTCTCTTGATTGTAAGATAATGCGACCAATTATTATGGATTAATGCCATGCAGTGTAACATATGTCATAACTGCAAATTAAAACAGGTATGTATATTTAAGCTTTGACGTAATCATATACCAAAAAAATGAACTTGAGAGACATGGTCCATCGATATTTGATGGTTTATTGCTTTAGAGATCGCTACTGCAAATTTACTTCGGTTAGGCCACAAAATGATTTCGCGTTTACATTGGTCACAGCTGGCTAATCATTGACCCGTATGTAACATGGGTAAAAACGAACTAATAATTCAATAAAAAAAGAATGGAAATAAGACCGGCCAAAATGTTATTTTTGGGTGGTTTGTTCAGTTCCAAAAAGAATGATTCATTGATGGTCGTTCTTTCCACGCATATAAATGAAGCCTAAAGAATTATTATCAAAGTTCGAACTGCTTCGTATTCCTGATGATTTTGCTTTCGAATGTAACTTAGTTTAGTTACAGTTAAAACAGTTTGATCTTGCGGTACATTTTCATGTCAGATGTTTGGGACGAAAATTGATTTTGAGAATATAAAGCAGTTTGAATGTAGACCTACAGAACCACTGCGGCTGTTACTTAGCTTACTAGGATTTTTTCCAAAAGTTTCTCCCGTTATAGTGAGACGAATTCAAAAAATCGACATCCATCAGTCGCCAGAGATAGTCACTAAATCCAAAACAGTACAATTTGCGTCCATGTTTGTTTGCACGCGTAAAATGCAAACAGGATATTTGCACCCACAGATTTTAAAACGCTGTAGTTGATCTCTGTATGGGGGTCCAAAAGTATGCAGGTACAAATTATACACGTCAATTCCGTTATTGATTCTAGGTAAATACTCTGGATATAAGTTACGACCAGTGGTGGGGTTCAAATTTTTTGTCAACCGGTTCCATCACGAAAGTCATATTTTTCGGCCGGTTCTGTTACATGTTTTTTTTAGTAATGCTAACCGGTTCGCTGATCTCATTAAATTCTGTGAGACGGTTCTATAGAACCGGTGCGAACCGGCTGAATCCCACCAGTGGTTACGACCCCAGGTCAACTTACCACGTCTGTTTTCGGTATATTCTTCATTCCCTTGGCCGTAAACAGTAGTTTTTATCGAAATCAAAATTGTTTCTGATATGATACATAAATTTATTTAAATTTTTGTATGATATTATACAAATATAACCTAATATTATTTGCCTTTACTAATATTATTTGCCTCGTTTTTAAAACTGTATATTTTCAGTGATCTCACTCCCGAAGAGACGGCGAGGGTGGCGAAGACAAGTTACCAAAAAAAGAAGACGGTGAGGAATTCTCAATATTTAAACCAATCAGAAATCCTGTGAAATGTGCGCATGTAGCATAACACATCTGTCTTATAACCGAAGCAATATTATGTTATGTATAACATGATGACACAATATATATACATTTTCAATGCTTTATTTTGATTCTATACCATTTCATTCATTAAAGACATCAATGCAATATTAAAATTTATTCCAGGTTCGAAATACAAAATGCAAACCGCAAATTCGTGGACAATTTGGATACCATATGCCACCAAGAAGTCAAGGTCAAATGTCGTCCACGGTAAAGGATTTAATTTGACGACTCCGGCTCTATAAATATTTCTTTTTGTATTTTTTTTGGGCGATATTATCTGTAATTTACAAGAGAGCTATGCTCTTAGCGTAGCGCCACACAATGGCAATAATTTTGATGACGTCATAGCGAAAAATAAAGTAATAGCCTTCTGGAGAAAAATTTTATCTTTAACCACTGAAAATTTCAAAGCAATTGGTCCAGTATTCGAAGAGAAAAGCGATTTTTTAATGATAATGACGAAAGAAAATAACAATAACAACAAAATTTTGAAACGATCGTTATGGCCACTAAACGTGTCCAATAAATTCAAATTGCAGGTTAGTCCTGTCAAACACAATTTGAAGCTTTGGGGTACATTCGGATGCCACGTCAAACCACGAAGCGGCGGAGTGGTAGCCATGGTAAGAAACCTATCGGCATTACGTTATGCAGTATCTTTTACTTGCAGTGGACGAATTTACAAACATAAAAAAGCAACAGAGTTTTTTATTTATTCTTTAAGTCTCGTTTAATACAAAGTGAATACGCAATACTAATATTTAAAATTATTTGTTTCATGAAATATTACGTAACGCCAACCCAACGAATATATATATATATATATGAAGTAATTTTATGTTTTTATTCGTTTTGAACGTTAACAGACATCAACTGAATCTTGCAGAGAGCTCCGTTGCACACGTATGACCAATTTCGGTAACTATATTTTGATGATTTGTTATAAATACAGAAAAGTTACTTCTTTATGACTCCAATGTATCAGGAATTTGAGTATAATAATAAGCCGCTTACTTTAAATTACCTTCCTCCACGTAGACTCCGATCGCGTAGTCCTCGTGACAATGCATATCATTACGATTCATATCAGATTTGAAATCATGCAAAGATCTTCCGCGGTTCGTTTTACCTTGAATCATCTTAGGTTAAAAGTTTGGCGTTCTATCGTACTCAGTTTAGAGGAATAAAGAAATGCTCAACTGAACGAAATAGCAGAGATAACTTTTTTTTTTTTAAAAAATCACATTTCAGAACCACTATGTAATAAAATATTTTATGAAAATGGTTTCCACTTCTTTGTTATATATCAATTTTTTTTTTCGTTTCAGATCGCCGCATGACAGCGGGATGAAGTGAATGTTCTATTTTATTTTATACTTTTTATATTTTTATAGATACAACGATATATATATAATAAATATTGACCTTTATATTCACAAATCGCTTTGTATCGGAACCTGTGTCAAGTGTTTCGCGCCTATGGGTTAGAAAAGTTTTCTTCTAGTTTCCTTACATCCCCTAAAATCGCAACATGCTGTTCCGGAGAACAACAAAATTGAAAATTCTCCTCTATGAAAGAAACATTTTGTAGTTATAAAAATGTCCAATATAGATAAGACTTGTATCCTTTGATTAGTTTATTCGATTTCATGGTGATGTAGTACTTTATACTGTCTGCGTTCTTTAGATTCTCCTTTTTGGATCACATGTTATTCATCGGCCATGAGTACAAAGATTTCCCCGTGTGCCCATGAGCATTCGTAGTTTTAGTTTGTGTTCTATACTGCAGTTTTTATTTATTAAATAGATTGACACATTGGAAGACAAATGATGAGGTGATATTTGGCGTTATTTCTGAACGCCGGTACACTTACATGGTCGTCCAATACTACACAAACTATTAATCGAAACTGCCTAGCCAGAATTATATATTTTCAATGTTTGACTCAATATTATTCTCGCGTGTTTATTTAATTACATCTCCTAGCATAGATAGCAGCATTAGTGATGCCTTTACTGCTTTCATTTTCAAAGGTACATTGAAAATGAAATTCATTCAGATTATAAATGCTAAAATACCAACTGTTCTTTGATTTGGGCATGTACAAACCCCTTAATGGTTCAACATTCAAAATTTTAATGATGGAATTGACATTTCGAAATTTTACCTAAAAAATTGTTATCCATCACGGTATTACCAACTCGGATGTGTTGTATCATCACTTCGCAGTAATTATCATTTATATTACATGTATCTCATTCGGCCATATCCGGATTGGCGTTTCAGCTTTTGGAAATATTTGTCATGCCATTCAAGGAGAATGGTCAACTACGTGCTTGAACCTTGGATAGTACCCCTATCAAATATATTTTTGAATTTTCTAGTCAGAACTTCTTCCGTACAATTTTCGACGTATAGTACTTTCTGAACGAAAAGATGCTGTTTTTCAGCACTCCCTCTCCAGATCAAAAAGTCGAACATGAGATGCCTGGTTAAGCTTCATTTAACTACACTGTCTCTGGTAGGGGTACAACGCTATTTTTTTGCTCGAAGGGGCCACATTGAAGTCACATCTTTTAAACCAATCCATTTACACATAAATCACAGGAAATTGGCCGCCAGAGCAGCTCCAAGAAATGGATAATGAGAATGTAATAAGTTGCACAAGTAGATATTCGCATCCTTGTATTCTTGTTACAACAGCGACTCATACTTATCCATTACATCCATAACTGATAAAATCATTCAAACTCATGAGCCCGAACTAACTTCGTCAATAATGTAGAATTTTCGTAAAATTTAACAAAATTTAATATCAAATCTGCTGCTCAGCCGCGATACGGTACCGGTAGGCTACTATGACAGATTAAATAACCGTACCACTTCGTGTCCATATATTTGAGCATCACTATCTTGTTTGGTTTCATGATGCTGTGGTACTTTTACTGTCTGTGTTTCTCATTTTACTGTGTGAGATTCTCATTTTTGGATCAGATGATATTCCTAGGCCATGAGTACGTGAGCACATAATTATTTGCAATCTTAGTTCGCTTAGTTCTATTCCATACCGCCGTTTTTATTTTTAAATAGATTCACAAGTTGATGACAAATGATAACATGTAAAAATTGATGTTGATCTACGTATGTCGTATTTCGACTACTTTTTAAAATGATTCTTCCGGAGGCGACTCCATTTACTTTGCAGGCTTCGTCGCTTAGTTACAAAATATGACGTAACAATGTTACAGAAACCTTTGTTTCCACGGAAACCGCTACCATCGTTGTTCGGGCCAGAGTTTAGCTTACAGTATTTAGTTTTTTTCTTTCGTACACTTGCTTCATGCGAGTTTATGGAAATCGCTCGCGATAATTAGGTGATGTCGGTTAAAATGTAATGAGTCTGTAGAGTAGCCTATTAAAGTTAAGTGGACTTTGAATATGGCTTCCTTCACCATCAAGTTCACGCATCTGGAATAAATAACCAACGAATCCCATACTCGACGCGAACTAGTAACCGGACGAGAGGCCGTGGTTCGCCATATGGTTGAGATGTCTAATCGGCGTACCCCTCTCTCGGGATAAATATTTATATCTTATGTTGATTCATTCATCATCCTTAAATAACAAGATTGATCTAAACAATCTTTTGTTACGAGTTTTCGAACTTTGAATACATAATATAAATAGTAGGTTACATTTTATAAAGCGAAATAGGAAATTCAACAAAGTCGACCACGACCGGATGCCCGATTACCAGGTCAGTTTATCCCCTTATTTCTGGCCACGCCCCATGCGTTGTCCTTACAAAAATGCGATGGAGAGAATGTTTCCAATGGTTAGAACAATACTGTACACCAATAATTGATATATATATTGACTTTAGGCAAAATAGCAACATTCCATATTGACCAGGCAAGATAATCTTTATAATTTCATTTGTTCTATTTTTTAATAAATCAGACATTAGTTGTCGATTAAAATCGAATATTCGCGCAACATGGGCCAACGCCAAACTATTGTATGCTTATCCTCATCGGTGGATCCCAAAGAGGACAACTCATTGGGTACTCCTGTGGACCCGCCAAAGTTTTTACACATGATCAATGGGTAAGTTGGTAAAACGATTTTAAATTTCGTTTCAATGTAAATAAAGTGTTATAAATAATTGAGTACAAAATGAAAGTATATTAACAATTATATTATTCATACTTTCACTTTGATATCCAATTCACACTGATTAACCAATCTGAGCCTAACTATTTCTCATCACTATGCCTCAACCCCCCCAAACTGTAGGTATGGTTATTGTGTGTCTCTTGATTGTAAGATGATGCGACCAATTATTATGGATTAATGCCATGCAATGTAACATATGTCATAACTGCAAATTAAAACAGGTATGTATATTTAAGCTTTGACGTAATCATATACCAAAAAAATGAACTTGAGAGACATGGTCCATCGATATTTGATGGTTTATTGCTTTAGAGATCGCTACTGCAAATTTACTTCGGTTAGGTCACAAAATGATTTCGCGTTTACATTGGTCACGGCTGGCTAATCATTGACCCGTATGTAACATGGGTAAAAACGAACTAATAAGTCAATAAAAAAAGAATGGAAATAAGGCCGGCCAAAATGTTATTTTTGGGTGGTTTGTTCAGTTCCAAAAAAATGATTCATTGATGGTCGTTCTTTCCACGCATATAAATAAAGCCTAAAGAATTATTATCAAAGTTCGAACTGCTTCGTATTCCTGATGATTTTGCTTTCGAATGTAACTTAGTTTAGTTACAGTTAAAACAGTTTGATCTTGCGGTACATTTTCATGTCAGATGTTTGGGACGAAAATTGATTTTGAGAATATAAAGCATTTTGAATGTAGACCTACAGAACCACTGCGGCTGTTACTTAGCTTACTAGGATTTTTTCCAAAAGTTTCTCCCGTTATAGCGAGACGAATTCAAAAAATCGACATCCATCAGTCGCCAGGGATAGTCACTAAATCCAAAACAGTACAATTTGCGTCCATGTTTGTTTGCACGCGTAAAATGCAAACAGGATATTTGCACCCACAGATTTTAAAACGCTTTAGTTGATCTCTGTATGGGGGTCCAAAAGTATGCAGGTACAAATTATACACGTCAATTCCGTTATTGATTCTAGGTAAATACTCTGGATATAGGTTACGACTAGTGGTGGGATTCA